TGTGATGGACTGGAAACCTGTCCAGGGCGTCCCTGTGATGGACTGGAGACTTGTCCAGGTGTCCCTGTGATGGACTGGAAACCTGTCCAGGGCGTCCCTGTGATGGACTGGAAACCTGTCCAGGTGTCCCTGAGATGGACTGGAGACTTGTCCAGGGTGTCCCTGTGATGGACTGGAAACCTGTCCAGGGCGTCCCCCGCCTCTTACACTGTGACTGCTGATTTTTAATTTTGCGTAAATATTCTACATTCACCTTATAATCTAGCTGTTTTTGCTACTTTTTGCCATCTTATTTTAATTTGTATTAAAAAAAAAAAGTAAAGAACATCTGTTTGCCTCTTTTATGATTGTCTATTGTTGTCGTCTTTCTTTGTAGAAATCAGGTCTCTCTTGTAAATGAGTCCTTGAGACTCAATGGGATTAACCTGTCTAAATAAAGGTTGAATGGAAATAAGTCTTTAAAGCAACCCCAGTAACTAAAATATCATAAAGTCTTACTAAGCTTTTTTTTAAAGCAAAGTTTTCTAACCGTTCTAACCTAAAAGTTTTCAGAAATATTTTATTTAACTATTTTTAAAATCTACAATTTCTCTTAGCCGGCTGCCATAGCACAGGGAAATCCCTTTGTATAATCCAACAACATTCAATCAGGTCATCTGGATTTTTTTTTTTTGGTCGTTTTGTCCTTCATCCAAAGGACTTCATCAGTCCGAGGAGCCACAAACAAACTCAGTCCCACAAGCAGCACACTCACATAGTGGACCAACCAGTTTGCTGGTGAGTAGATGGTTTCTGGAGCCCGCCCTCTCCCCTGTCGACTCCTCCGAGGCAGCCATAGCCAAAGTGGTTCAAAACATCCAAGTTCATGCTCAATAATTCAGGTAGAAAAAAAAATCCAACTAAATTCACTCAGGTCATCTGGACGTCTTTTTTTTTATTCATTTAAAAATTTTTTTTTTTTAGATGATTCATCCTTCATCCAAACTCCTTTGGATGAAGGATGAATCATCTCAACAAAAAAAACAAAAAAAAAAACATCCAGATGACCTGACTGAATTTAGTTGGATTTTTTTACCTGGATTATTGAGCATGAACTTTGACCCGGAAGCTTGGGGATTCCCCTTTTAGACACAAAGCTGGAATTCCTGATGACATCACTCCAGACTAATGAAAATTGAGTTTTCAAACCAGCACACTCACTGACGAAACTAGTTTGTCGCCAGGTGACGAATCACCACATTGCAGCTCATTTTAAAGCTTCTGAGAATCAGAACCTGAAAACTCAATAATTCCTCGATGCTGCTCGTTTTACCAGCACACGATTATATATTTGCGGGCGGGAAAGGTGCTTTAACGGAGAGATGAATGTGCAGAGATTACAGTCCTTCGCGAACATGTAGTGTTTTGATGTGAGACAGCGTGCAGGTGAAACGTCTACGGCCGTGAAGCTGCGTGAAGCAGTGATTTATCAACACGGCTCCATATTCATCAACATTCACCTTGGGTTCGAGTGTGGCCGCCCTCTGCTCACGTTCACAAACAAACGTCCTCATCGACTTCTTCCAAGACGCAGACACTCGGGGACGATCGTGAACTCCGAGAGGCTCGTAGGAAATCAGGGATGGGGCGATTATTGACTCGGTCGTTGTTTATTCAGCACAAAGGCACCACTTTAACCTCTCGTCTTCCAACAGTTCACCAGTGAGACATTTCTATTGGAGCAGAGCAGCTCATAACTCGTATGCATGCACAACGGTGCCAGCTCCATCCAAGATGGCCGCCACAAGTAAACGACCGTAGCAAAAATAAAAATATCTATAACTTGACGGATACGGAGGTAAATTCTGGTGTGGTAGCTGAATATCGTTCCTAACAAATGCCAGATTGTGCTTTATTTCTGCTTAAAACTTTTGCAATAACTGTTTGTGCAAACCTCCAGTCTGTTAGCAAAATATCTCAAGACCCACTGAGCAAATTTTAATGACATTCTCAGAAAATACTCATTGGATGTACAGTACGTCGACAGCTGATTAACTTTTGGAGTGATCCCAATTTTAGATGGCTGCTGCAGCTAATTAACATTAGCCGAAACAAAACTTACTGTAACTTAATCACCTTTACAGAGAGGGTCACCACGGTGAATAAGTCCTTCCTGACGCAACCACCGAGCTACCACAGCCCTCTGTGTGGAGCAGGGAGCTGCATCTAGGACACCCGGTGGAGCAGATGGTGGGGGTTCAGGGACTCACGATGGCCCAGAGTGGGGCAAATGAGGGTGGAGGCGGTTGTGCGTGCTTCACCTTTTCCACCCACATTTTGATGTTGTCGGTCCAGAGAATTGAGCCGGCGACCCTCCGATTACAGGTCCACCTTCTCTAACTTCTGCGCCACCATCCCCCCAGACGCTGACTGTTTAAAAATTGTGAAAACGGTTAAAAACTGTGCACTAAAACTTTGGTATCAACCCCGCTTGTCTTAAAATGTCCAACCAGTGAGGAGATCTTTGCTCAGTTCACCGGCATCTCATTACCTTTTAGAGTTGGCCACATTCAAGATGGCCGCCGCCGTTAATTGACTTTGGCAAACACAAAAATGTTTTTTGCTTTAAGCGCTAGCGGATAACGAGATCTCGTCGCATTGAACATCGTTTGTGTTTGACCAACATTTCTCATCGTGAAGTTTAAGACTCGGGCATTAAGGAGGCGGGCGACGTGAGTTCCTTCAAATGATTCTCAGCTTTCTTCTTATTGCGAGACCGTTTGTTTACTTTTCTTAATTATTTTAGGTCGAACTGTGTCTTGAGTCTTAGAGACGCTCGTTCTCTGAATTTAGGCTGCTTGTTTGGTTTCAGCAGCAAAAGAACAGGATAAAGATCATGTTTGGTGTTCCAAACATATGTATTCATCCCGGAGCGATTCATGACAAGGTTAGTGGCTCTCGTTGTGATTACACCTTTTCATCCGTCCTGGTATTTTTTCACTTTTTCAACACTTTGCGACTCGTGAACAATTTTTATTTTTTTTCAGCGCATTTCACTGCCGTATCATTTTTAGTGTCGTGATGATGGCGAGTGGTCTGCCCAACTGTTTGTCGTTGCGTTTGACTATAACGACTTCAAACAAGGTCCAAACAAAAGAACAGCAACTTGCAAAGTGTGTGGCATCAAGATAAGGCGCTGGATCAACATCTAATTTCATCAGGCATCTGAAAACACACCTGGACAGGTTGGTCAGTCTGTTGGGCTAATGCTAGCTGTTGTAGCCAAGAGATGCTAACTTGATTATTTGTATTTCCTGAAGATTTGAGAAGATGAATTGATCTTTGTTTGCTTGTTTACAGAGTATGGATACATCATTACTGTACGGTTAATTGATTATGTTGTGTTTCAATCCTGCTGCGGTCGTTATTACCGTCAGGCTTTTAGCGGGGCCTGCTAACGCAACAGAACCATGCTGCTAACCGAACCACACTGTAGATGTATTTCTTTTTCAACTTGGGCATCTTGTTTTTACTATTTTAGTAGTATTTTTAAAATTTTTGCTGCATGTTTTGGTATTTCTTGGGCGAGTCGAGCCAGTTGTTCTTGCCCTAAGCGTTTCATTGCATTGTTGACTTGTGTTGATTTTGCATGTCGGACATCGTGTGAGCAGCTCGGTCCATGGCAGGAGGCAAAGTGGCCGATGGAATAAATTGGAGAGCGCACAGATGGAGATGGGAGACGTTAAAGAAGACAAACAGTCGGGCGTAGAGCAAAAAAAAACACCCCGACAAAATAAATGAGTGAATTCTGGCCTAATACGAACAGATTCCCTTAAAGCTGCACCAAATAATTTGTTCATCTAAACGAGTTTAAATGGAAACTGCCGCAGTGGAGAGGAGATCGTTGCTTCTTCTAATCGAGACGCTTCGCTTATTTACATAAGTGGGGATGTGTCAGGGAACACACAAAAAACAAATTAAAATGAGAAATGTTCTTTCAAACGTCAAAAACAGGTTTTATTTATGAAAGTGAGCATTAGGAGAACTGAAGAAACCTTAGGGAATGAGGTCCGCTCAGTCTGGACGTCAACCAGCAGCAGAGAACAGAGCTGTAGCCGATTAGTTTCTGGAACCTGTGGGTACTTTCAGCCAACTTTCCCAACTTCAGGAAACAT